TCAGGGGTTTTTTTTTTTTTTTTTTTTTTTTTTAATAAATTTATTTATTTATTTTTGGCTGTGTTGGGTCTTCGTTTCTGTATGAGGGCTTTCTCCAGTTGCAGCGAGCGGAGGCCACTCTTCATCATGGTGCGCGGGCCTCTCACTGTCACAGCCTCTCCGGTTGTGGAGCACAGGCTCCAGACGCGCAGGCTCAGTAGTTGTGATTCACGGACTTAATTGCTCCGCGGCATGTGGGATCCTCCCAGACCAGGGCTTGAACCCATGTCCCCTGCATCGGCAGGCAGACTCCCAACCACTGCGCCACCAGGGAAGCCCACAGGAGTTTCTTGAAGTCTTTCATCAGCTCAAGGCCTTTTTCTGTCCTCTTCCTTGTTATGAGTTTATACATTTTAAAACAGTTCTTTTTAATGTTTTAATGAGGTTTCTGGGCAAGCATATGAAAAGCAGTCTGTTAACTTGATTTAGAATTCCAGATTTTTATTGTAAAAGCTGAGAAGAGAATAATGCGATGCTTGACCAATGGAATGTCTTTTTCATGAGACACCTGGGTGAGAGAGAGATTTTTTGTTGGAGGACCTTTTTTGTTGTGGTTGTCATAATGTGATTCAGATTTTGGAGCAAGTTTTTTAATCTTCAGGCTGCTCCATGATAAAACTCTGGGACACCATTTGCTTTGGAATCTATGCTGCTAGGACCCCTCAGGATCTACACATAGAACATCTATTTCTAACCTAGGGGCAATAACATCTGTCAAGATCATTGAGGGGATTAAAACATCACTTGTAAAGCACCTAGCACAGAAACAAAAATTGATTAGTTAAGTAACATTATAGTGCTGTCTGTTATCTAGCTTAAGTTTTATACTATTAATAGAGTCCTTGATTATTTAAAGTTTCTGGTTGGTATCCTTATTTCCTTTTTCCTGACTCCCCTCACTCTGAAAAAGGAAACTCTGTGGGTTATTCAAGCTTTAGGTAAAGAGAAGAGCCTTACTGACATGAATATGCAATAACAAACTTCCTCTAAACTCTTAGAACTGTCAGACGTCCTTGTAGAGGGAATGCTCTGTCTTTCCTTTATATGCCATTGAAAATCTTTGATTTTGATTTAGAGCTGCAATATAAATTCATGATTGGGTGGTTTTTCCTCTTTGATATTGTCTTGAAATTTTTTAACTTTTTTTTTTAACTGTAAAGTGTACAGATTGGTATTTTCCTCCAAGTTATATTAGTTATCATGTTTAAGGTCAGAAAACACTGGCTTAATGTCTAGTTGATCTATCAAAAACTTCTCTCCTTTTCTAGGTTATCTTGGAAGATCTAGGACTCCAAAAATGTTTCCCTTGAAGGATGCCGAAATGGGTGCCTTTACCTTCTTTGCCTCTGCTCTGCCACATGATGTTTGTGGGAGCAATGGGCTTCCTCTCACACCAAATTCCATCAAAATTTTAGGGCGCTTTCAAATCCTTAAGACCATCACGCACCCCAGACTGTGCCAGTATGTGGATATTTCTCGGGGAAAGCATGGTAAGTTGCTGTTGTTGTCTCCTATTTTGTGTTCTCTACCCTGTTACCCTGGTTAGGTTATAATATACATTGTAAACATATAAAGTAATCAGTATGTGTGTGTACAAGTGCCTTCACCTTTCACTCTAGCCAAACTGCATCATTTGAGTTTTCCTTACTACATTTGAATGATTCATATTTCCTAGATCTGAGAATCAAGATTTTTAATTTTCTCTTTCAGGGAAGCCACCTATTCTCAAGCATTTCTTCACCTCTCTAAGAAGGAAATGAAAGTTCTAAAGTTAGAAACTTTAGAGTTGTTTATGAGAGTGTATTTTATGATTGAAAGTAATAATTTGGGTTAAGTTTCTTCAAATGAAAAGAGAGTCACTAATTTTTTTACCTCTTTGGAGCTGCATTAGTCTTTTCATACAGGATTTCATTTGGAAAAAGTTGAACTGTAATTGGTTAAAAAGTCAGTGTTTCACTAGGAAGATGTTTACTGCCTTTTTTTCTTCCGTAGCCTGTATCTTAGTCCATTCTGGCTGCTAAAATAAGACACCATAAACCGAGTGGCTTATAAACAAGAAAGGTTTATTTCTCACAGTTCTGGAGATTAAGGCACCAGCAGATTCCACGTCTGGTGAGGCCCGCTTCTTCATTGACAGCCATCTTCTCACTGTAACCTCACATGGTGGGAGTGGGAAGGGTGTTCTCTCAGGCCTCTTTTGTAAGATCACACCTCCCAAAGCCCCACCCTCAAGCACCATCACACTGAGGATTAGGTGTCAACATATGGATTTGGGTGGGGGGGGGACACAAATGTTCAATCTGTAGCACCCCTTGAAGGTGCTTATGTTAGCAATATTTTAATTATTTTAAAATTATTTTTGAAAGCTTAATTGCATGCTGAGGTTCCATTTCTTAGAATTATTTTAAATGCATCTCACTGAAATATATTTAATTTTTCTAAAAAAATGATTTATGAAAGTTAACCCTATATACTTGCTGATATTGTCCTGTTTTTATTCCTCCAAAAATGGCATTTTCAGGTGTTTCAACCTAACATTAATAAAGACGCTAAAAAAATGCAGACTATTTCCTTTATTGTTTTGCTGAAAAACAGGCTAAATAATACTTTCAAGGTTATGCCTCTTAAAAAATAGTTGCTCTGAAAGTTTTCTAGACTGAGTAGAAAATGTTTTTTGTAATAAATATTATTGATGGCTAATATTTATTGAGTGTTTATTATATATTAGGCAGTATTCTAAGTATTCTAAGCTTTACATATTTTAATTAACTTAATGCTTACAACCTTACCATGAGGTAGAAACAGATAAGGAAATTGAGGCACAAAGCAATTAAGTAACTTCTGGCAAGTTTGTTGTTTAAAAACAAGCAAACAGGGCCTCCCTGGTGGCGCAGTGGTTGGGAGTCCGCCTGCCGATGCAGGGGATACGGGTTCGTGCCCCGGTCTGGGAGGATCCCACATGCCGCGTAGCGGCTGGGCCTGTGGGCCGTGGCCGCTGAGCTTGCGCGTCCGGCAACGGGAAAGGCCACGACAGTGAGAGGCCCACATATCGCAAAAAAAAAAAAAAAAAAAAAAACAAGCAAACAAAAAACCTTTTGCTAACGTTCTTATTTGATAAATGGCTTCAATGACGTTAACTAAATTATAGAACTCATTTGGGGCTTTTTATATAATCGAGTACTTGATAGATATTGTCAATCCCTGAATGCCTCAAACACCACCCCGCCAATCCAATTACAAATTCTAAAGAATTTCCGCTTGTGGGGTTGACCTAGTTCCAAAATCACTCCAAACTTAGCAATATAGTGGACCCTCATTATCGTCTGTAGCGAGTAACCATAAATAGTATTGCTGTTTTACATATGCAAATTTGGAGTATGCCTGTCTTCCCAAAGTCTTGCCACTTTACTCAGTTCTTAGGACTTCTTCATCCTCGTATCCTGAAGTGCCCTTTATTTCTTCCCACTGTGTCTGGAAGCCTGTATGGAGCATCACTTCATATGACTGCGGTCTTGCCTCTGTCGTTTTCCCTAGGCTTTCTTTTCATGGGATAATTGACTCAGTAGTCCTAGATACTTCTTGAGCTCCTTCTTTTCATCCCACTATCTAAATGAGACCCTGTAAACACTGAACTAGGAAAAACCTTATGACATTATCCCTTTGGGGAACACTACTGCTAACTGCCCAGGAACCATCTTTTTAGTTATAAATGTGAGATAGGAACTAATCTCCTTAGACACTGTTGGACTCTCTTAATGTAGAGCCCAGCTCAACATCTAGGTAGTCTCTTTAGGCCCATCCACCATATTGCTGGTTACTCTGTTTCCCCTGCTTTCCCTGCTCCTGGATCTCAGCAACCCTTTCTTCTAGGGACACACAGGTCATGGATGTGTGTAAAATTCATATATTTTAAGTTTGGCTGCCTGGAATGAAAATATCAATGATTGTCAAAAGGTTAGGAAATTTGATTATTTTTTTACTGTCGGCAATGTTCATTATCCTGAAAAGTTGTATGCATCATAAGGTGTAAATAAATTAGAATAAGTGTCGATGTGAAGGTCTTTTTGTTCCAAAACATCCCAGTCATTTCAGTTGAATTTAGTTTGAAAAGTTTGAAAAGGCTCTACTCAACAGTCTCCTAAGTGAACATCACATATTTCTCGATGATTTAATACCACATGATTTTGGTTTGGACTCCACTTAATTGTCTCCTCAAAGAATTTTGATTTTGGTTCCTTTCCCCGCTTTATTCTGTTCTTACTATACAGATACCTCACAGTTTGTCATTGTTAGTCCCCCACCTCCCCACCTTTCGCTTTTTACTTGGAGTAATGTGTGACATGTGGTCTGTTTTACTAACATTATGTTTTTACATGTTAGGTTAGCTCAGAAGTCAGGCTCTCAATGTTTCCTATGGATCAGTCAAAACTGATTCAAGATGATGTTAGTTTCTTGCTAGCTCAGCAGAATAATGTATTTAAACTCAAGAATAGTGTACATTAGAATTTGTGCACTTGATTTATTAAAGAGAAGTTGAGTAAAATATCTTTAAAAGAAAAAAGCCAATAAAGCATGAAAATACTTAAGTTAACAAACTTAATCTTTTTCTTTTGAACTTGAAATCTCAGCAGTTTTAGAAGCAGAATAAGGATTATAAATGGTAATACATTCCATTTTATTTGGTATTGGTTGCCCAGAAATCTTTTGTTTATTGCTGGGAAAATCAAGAACAAAATTATTTTAACTAATAGATTTGAAATTTAGGTAGAGAATAATAGAATTGTTAAGAACCTTCAAAATAATATATTCTATATCTCTAGCTGCATATATATTTCAACCTAAGGGTCTATATCAGTTTAGAGTTCCATCAAAGAAACAAAACCAGTAGGAGATAGATAGCTAGATAGCTACACAGATATAGATTAATTGCTTGGAATTGGTTTATGTGATTTTGGGGTTGGGTAGACTCATCTGAAATCCATAGGGCAGGTCATCAAGGACAAGCTGAAGTTTAGACAACAGCTGAAGTCACAGTCCAAGTGTGGAGTTTCTTCTCCAAAGGAGAGTCTATTCTGCTCTTTAAGAGGCCTTTACAACTGATTGAATCAGGATCACCCAGATTATCTAGGATAATCTTCCTTACTTAAAGTAAACTACTTGTAGATTTCATTTGTTAAATGCCTTCACAATAACACCTAGATTAGTGTTTTAATACCTGGAGACTATAGCCTAGCCATGTTGACTCGTAAAACTGACAATCACAGTAACCTAGTAACAGTGCTGTTTTTTAAGCACAGAATTTTTCTTTATCAGTTTTACTCTATAAATATTTACTTAGAGATTCTCTTTAAAAGGTAATGAGCTAGTCTCAGTTTTTAATGTGAATAACAAAAGAATGATGCAGTAACTATATTCTAATAACCTTTCATGTTTTAACGCATTTACAATTTACCTCTTTCTTTAAGTTAAAAAAGTTTCTTTTAATCTTTCAGTCTGTTTTAGTCCCTCTTTTTATTCAACTACTTTATTATCTGTCTTGCTTAATACTGTACTCTCTTCCATTTCTTAGCATTGACTTAAAACATACAGTTCAAACTGCATGTACACTACAGTTATACTTGGCATTCATCAACTATTTGTTAGAAGAAAGATTATTTCACGGTTCTTGTATGTTCTACTCTTTAAAGTTCATCTTGGTGTCACATTTGTTTTTTATAAATAATGCCACTACATTGCTGACTTATATTTGGCACATTATGATTCTTAAATATTTCTGTCATATTTTATTCTGTGAAATATTTTATAACAAACAGAAGTTATTTTCAAATAGTGGTCCTGAGTTTCAGAATGAAGACTCTCTAACGATTTTTTGAAAAAACAGGTTCATATTGGAAACATTGTTTTGGTATACACTCTATTACCTCTGGGAGAATCTTTGATATTCTGCCAAGGATTATGGTTCTGCTGTCTTACAGTAATACTTTAAAGGTCCATAATATCCTAAAGCTTTGGCAAACTCTGGCTTATGATATTTTGAAGGAGTTTCCTGAAGAAGCCTGATATTTTTTTTCCCTAAATCATTTTAAGCCTGACAAATTTTAGGCTAATGCCAAACACTTTGAAAATCCTTCATAGATATGGAGACTTATGAATATATAATTAAAAATTATTCATTAATGGGGTATGCACATTTTAACATATTCTGATGGTTTTGTTTTACATTAAAATCAGTACTATTGTGGTGTTATTATGCCTAGTTTACAACATAGGCATATACTTTCCTATGCAGGACACACTTCTGTTTAGACAATGACTATCATTATGTGAGACTCATTCATTTCTAATGGCTGCATTGAGCCTTTGCTCAAGTTAACTCATTTAACAGGTATTTTTTAATTAGATGCTTATATGTTTGAGGTATAATTCTAGGCACTGGAGATGCATTTTAAACAAGACCAATATCCTTCCTGCCATCATGAAATGCATTATCTAGTAGAGAACAAAGGCATTAGATAAAAATGTATACAAATCTTTAGGAGTTGAAATAAGTGCTACAAAAGAAAAGTACATTGTGGAATAGATTATATGATAGGAGGAGCAAATTGATTTGGGGGGACCAGGAAAGTGTTCCTGGAGGAAATCACATTTAACTGAGTAATGAATAATAATAATAGCTAACTCTTAGGGCTTCTTATGTGCCAGGTTCTTATTATGTATTAACTCATTTCAACCTCACAGCAGCTCTATGAGGTAGGTACTGTTGTTTTACGGAAGAGGAAACCTTGGCATAGAGAGGTTAGCAAAATCCCCCAAGGTCACATAACTAATGAGTATTAAACCTAAAATTTGAGCCCAGACAGAATAGTCTGTGCTCTTAACCACTATGTTTCATGATAGGAGTTAACTGGGAGAAGGAACAAGGAAGATCACTTTAGGCAATGGGAATCCATGTGCTAGTAGGAAAGGGGAAGGAAGACCAGTGTAACTGGAAGTTGGTGAGTGACAGACAAAATAACAAAAAATAAAGCTAGACAGAGAGTTACGTATTCAGATTTATTAATTATTATATTATCACTTAGGTTTTAGTATGAAAATATGTCGGAGGGGGAATAAGAATTAATATGAGAAGATTAGTTAAGAGATTGTTGTAGTAATCTAATGAGGGATGTTGTTGGATTGGACCCAGATTGTGGCAGATGGAGCAAACTTTACAGATTCTGGAAACATTTGGGAAATAGAAATAGCAGGGCTTTTTCTTAGGATTTGAGAAAGGGAGATTACTCCTAAATTTGTAGCTGGAGCAGCTGGCAGGATAGTGGTACCATTTACTGAAACGGTACTAAAGGGAAAGGCTTAAGGAGCAAAATATAAATTCTGTTTGAGTCCTGTTGTGTTTGAGGTAACTTTTATATTAAAGTGAGAAACTGGCTATAAAAGCCTAGAGTTCAGAAGAGAGTTCTGGGCTTGAGATAAAATTTAAGAGTCTTTCAACCTTGGAAGTAAATAAGGAGAAAACACAGTCTGAAGACCAAGAATCAAAGGTGGAAGCACTAGAAGCATTTAAATTTGGGTAGAAGAGGTACCAGTCTACAGAGGAGACTGAGGAGAGGTAGCCAGATAGGTATAAGGAAAATTGACAAAATGTGGTAAAAGAGAAAACAAAGGAATGCTGCTTCCCATTTTGGTTTTCTGACAATATTATTTACTTTTTCCTTCTAGAACTTCACAGTTGTGCTGAATTGCTTGGAATTCAACTTTGCATGCTCGTTTCTTTATTGAATTGAAGAACTAGAACTTTTATCTCAACTTTCTTTCCTATTTTATTCCTATGTTTCCCCTCATTAAATGTTCTTTCAAATTTAATTTTCTTTAAGTTCCTGTTTAGATCACTTGGAGTTTTTTTCTGAAAGTGATAGTTTTCATTTATAGTTGTAAAATTTTGTGTTTCAGATCATTCTATATAATGCCACCACCTCAGTTTGAGCTTCCAAGATGTGACCCATACAATATCCTGCCCTCACACCTCACATGATTGCCTGTGTACCATTGTCCTTCATCTCTCTTCCCAGCAGGCAAGACCATACCTTGAATCAGTCCTTCCCATCTTCTGCTCTCATTTTTCTACCTTTGCCGTTTTTCATTTTCACCAAACCTCCTTGCAGTTATCACTATTTCTGGTCTCTTTTCACCTTTACTTCTTTATCTTGTCTTAGCTTGCCATCTGTATTATGTGTTTACCTTCTTCCTTATCTTAGAACTCATTTTGCATAGATATTCATAGTACCCCAGTTTCTTTCTCCTGAAATAACCTTATCAAATCTCCAACCACTAGTGAACCCAGTTGTGCTTTTCTCTCACTCCTCTTACATTCTTTCATCTAAAAAGGAAAAGAGTTTGTTGATCTGCTGCTGTGTCAGACAACGTGTTAGTCACTAGGTACCTGATGATTACATTAAAAATGTATAGACCTTCAAAACTGTGCTGTCTTATTCTTAAACAGTTGATCTGTTGGAAAATAAAAATTACATCATGATATAGATTGTGCCCACCAAAATTTTATATTATTACTAATCTCAGCAAGCCCCATGATGTTACAAGTAACCCCAAGTTGATTTTCTGTTCTTTCTCCATAGTCATGATTCAGAACATTTCTACTTTTCTCAAATTTCTGTACTCAGTTTCAAAAACCTTATATTTGAACCAGACCGTCAAGACAATTTGTCCCTAGCTCCCAATTTCCCCTTCACTTCAAAATTTCTTTATATCTTCATCCAAGCTTTCTCTTCTCCTAGTCTGTGTCAGAGGAAGGATTACTTCTTTTTGCCAAAGGTAAACTTTTCCAGCTGTTTTTCCTGATGCACATGGGAGAAATTCTAGAGAAAAACACAAGATGAAAAGAAATGGTTATTTAATGTGTTGTTTTATTACACATTTATCCTGTTATTCTACATATTTGATTTTTATGTAGTTAATGTAGACTTTGAAAAGCTCTTTTAAAATATCATTTATACTGTATGTTAATAACTTTAGTGGGGTATATTATTTTGTTATTAAAACATTGTGTTAATCAAATATAAAGTGGAGTTGGTGTTTTTTTTTACTCAGAGAGACTGGTGGTGGTGGCTGAACACTGTGAACAGAGTCTAGAAGACTTGCTTCGAGAAGGGAAACCCGTGAGGTACTGTATAATATCAGGACAATTACATGAAAAGCAGAAATTGGCAAACAAAAGGCATTTTAACTAGAAACTATAGGATTTTAGTTTCTTCTGTTACTTGTTTAATGATAAAATCCAGGTGTAAATTTTCACTTTAGGAAATTTAATTCACAGGCCTCATAGAAATTCAACATTGACATTATCCAGTGTTCAGCTTTTGTGAGGTAAGCATTCTGCAAAGTACTTGACAAAAAATTACTAAAGAGGATATACAGGAAAATTTGAAATCTTTTTAGTACCAAGCATTTGTCTAGCTGAGGCTTAAGAGTATTTCCTGAGAGAAGTACATGGTAACTTCTCACAGGGCACTGGTATTCTTAGGGACATAGGACATAGTGAACTGTGTAGAAGGCTAGATTGAAGAATAGAGGGAAATAATAATCATGGCTTGGGTGGAATATAATCATACAGTTTAAATTCAGTTATTTCAGGGGCTTCCCTGGTGGTGCAGTGGTTGAGAGTCCGCCTGCCGATGCAGGGGACACGGGTTCGTGCTCCGGTCCGGGAAGATCCCACATGCCGCAGAGTGGCTGGGCCCGTGAGCCATGGCCACTGAGCCTGTGGTTCTGGAGCCTGTGTTCCACAACCGGAGAGGTCACAACAGTGAGAGGCCAGCGTACCGCAAAAAAAAAAAAATAAAATAAAGGTATAAATTCAGTTATTTCAATGACACGTGAAATTTACTTTCTAAGGCATTTTTGGCAAGAAAAGTGGTCTAAACTTTCTTACAAATATACTATTAAATGAGCTTCACAGATTTTCTGAAATTATCTTAAAATTATGAAAAATGTGTCTTTTTTTTTTTTTTTTTTTTTTTTT